CTCAGCCTCCCCAGGGCTGGGATTACAAGCATATGCCACCATGCCCAGTTTCAAGGCTGGTGGGGCTGGTGCAGCATGAAGTACTGGGCATCGACTTGTGTCCTTGTGCTTCTCAGGCAGGTGTTTAGACTACTGAGCTATCTTCCCAACCCTCTTTGACCCTTTCTTTGCCCTCTTACAATGAGATGATGAGCACTCTCTAGATTCCAACTCTTTGATATCAGGTTTCCAAGCCTCAAGAACTGTGAGAAATAAGTTGATTCTTATGTTAGTTACCCAAGCTTCACTATTTTCTTGTAACTGCAGAGTATGAAGCAACATATCAATCAATATCATTATTCTAGTCATGATGTTCAATTGGGTGTTGGAAAATACCCCAAGCAAAACAATCAAGCCCTATGACAACTGTTCAGAACTCATCTGACTATCTCAGCTTGAGCTATCAATGCTGCTAGACTCAGAGTTGCATACGGGAAAGTTGGGGCTAGTGCAGCCTCGCTGGCACCTACAATGAGTACGGAATGGTGTAAGTGCTGGGACAGTGGAACTGGGACTTAGTGGTAGGTAAAACGTGCTCTGATTTTTTGAATTCTAGTTTAAGCTGACCCTGAGGTCGAACTCCCCATATGAATGAGTTCATGTGTTTCACTGTTCAATCAAAGCTAGTTTAGAGTTCTTATTTCTGATACTTACAATATACCCAGTTCTACTGAATCAGCAATTCAGTCTATCCAGGCATGGTGGCCCACATCTGTATTCCCAGCACTTGGGAGACTAAGGCAGGAGAATCCTTGTGAGTTTGAGGCCAGCCTGGGCTACAAAGAGAGTTCAAGGCCAGCCTAAATTGCATAGTAAGACCCTGTCTCAAAAAGACCAAAGTATAGGGTTGGGGATGTAGCTCAGTGCAAAGCCCAGGACAAAAAAAAAAAAAAAAAGCAAAACAAAAGAACAAAAGAAAAATGAAATATGTTCTAGAATTGGGGTGCATCAGGTAAAATGTGGAAGTGGCAAAAGACTCAGAAGTCTTTTGATGACAGAGGTGGTTTATCAACTACACTACTCTATATCCAAGAATCAGAATTGTTTGTCTCTGTGGGAATTGAGTAGAAATGGCTAAGGAAATGTTCTGGATGTGCAACATGTTCTGTAGGTTAGCTACCTCTCTTGTCATGAGACAAAACATTCAATATCCAAAATTAAAGGAGACATTTATTGTAGCTCAGTTTGCAGAGGTTTTAGTTCATAGTTTGTTGTCTCCAAAGCAGGGTGGTATGGCAGAGGGACATTGCAGGGAGAAACACTTCATGGCAGGAAGGAGGTAACAAAGCAGGGAAGTAGTGAAGAAGCCACAAGCGAAGACAGCAGCCCTCTTTCTGTCTTACATTTTCTCCAGGCTACCCACCCTTAGAGTGGGTAGCACTCATGCCCAGAGTGAACCTTTCGTACACAGAATCACTTTGAGTCAGTCAGTGGATTAATTTAGTAATCTCACACCCAACTCCCAACACCACACAATTAATCCCAGCATCACTCTCTCTAGATCCAGCCACCTCTGAAAATCCCCACCTATGACCACATGAGGTTATGGGGGACATCTAGACACAAGCCAAATGATAGATTTATTATGAAGTGACCACATAAGTATACATTTAGCAAAACTTTGAATTGCACTCTTAAGACCTGTTCATCTCACTGTAAGTTTTAACTGATCTTTTAAATTTGATTTTTTAAAAAGACATAGTTTTTTTCTTTGTAAAATTAATTTTATTGAAAAACAAATAGTGATGAGACAGTTTCAAAACCGATTAATAGGACAGATTCAATAATTAATACACTGCATATTGTTGTCTTCATAATGGTTATTCATAGTACAAGATGCAGACATGATATCCTGTCCAAACACTATTAGTACAAATCTTTCTTCTCATTGAATTAAGAGAAAGTAACTGTATATCTATCCTGTTTTGTATATACAGATACAAAATGGTCCTTCATTTGTATCCCCTTTTTTTGTTTAGTTTTGTCAGAGGGGTATTCCATTGCCACTTAAATATTGTAGGTGCATGAATTCAGCAAAATAATCCAATATAGTCCAGCAGTCCATAATAGTAGTGGGTCATCCGCAGGACTGACAATGTCAGAAGTTGTTGACTTGAGCCCTTTACAGCTCAGCATATTAACATGGCTTTACTTTGCGTACCCCATTATACTTTTCTCCTGGATGGTTAAGACCAAGATAAAGTGATTTCAAATTTTATTCCTGACATCAACAAGCTTACCATCTTCCAAACACATCCTTATTTATTTATTTTTATGTATTTAGTACAGGCTCTACAGGATCTCACCACACAGATTAGACTCAGAGTGCTCTTCCTGCCTTCAGCCTCCCAAGCGCTGGATTACAGGCACGCCCAGTCTCTTTGACCACCATCTCAGCGCACCCTGGGGCGGGGCCGGCGGGGCCCTCAAGGCTTGAGCCCAGCCTCGACGTCTGCCTGAGCAGGTGCTTTACATTGCCGAGCTATCGGGCAGCTCACCCTTATCTTTACGGCATAGAACACACACCTAATTCAACAAGTGCAGAATCATAAAGTCACTTGTAGGTCAGTCTAGCCGAAGGTGCCTCGTTCACGGATGTGCTGTCATGAGTACTCTGATGGAACAAACGGGTTCACAACAGTCACCTTCCATGTTCGTTTTGACTTTGGGGAAGGGGCAGGAGTCGCGTGATAGCAGATCACATAAATAAGGTAAATAAGGTGAGTGATGATACACTATAATGCTTTTATTTCACAGAAATTTTCTTAAAATTAAACTGCAAACTGCCTCAGAAAGTGACAAGAACTGTGGGATATATGAGTTCAAAGTGAAGAGAAATACTTGAAGGGGCTGATGGCAATATGTCTTTTACTGAATAAATAAAAATTTTTAACATTCCATGTATTTTAATCACATCATATATAGCAAGAGCTTTAAAAAATTGGTTTGATGATGAAAATACAATTATTGTCATTAAGACCAATTTAAGACATGTAAGCATGGCTTGTGTTTCAAAATTCCACCATAAATATACAAAGACACAAATGTATGCAGTTTTTGTTTTGTGGTACTGAGGACTGAACCCCAGACCTTGTGCCTGCCATAGGCACCAGTGCCCCTGAGCTCTATCCCCGGCCCTGTATGCAGTTATTAACTAACATGCATGCATATAAATGCACCAAATAACAACTGTATTCTGCTGGGACAAAATACCTGAGAAGGAAAGGTTTCACTCAGTTTTTGTTTTTTTTTTTCAGTACCAGGGATCAAACTCAGGACCTTGCACTTGCCAGGCAGGCGCTTACACCACTGAGCTATATCCCCAGTCCCCATCACTCACAGTTTGTGGAGGTTTCAGTCCATACTTGGCTGGATCCAAGGAAGAGTGGCACAGGGCAAAGGGCAGCAGTTCATGGTGGCAGAAAACAGCAAAACAGCAAGAGCAAAAGGGGAGGAGCAGCCCCTTCCCCTCCCTCATACTGCACGCAGGCTGCCTGCCCCAGGCGGCTGTAGCACTCACACCCATAATCCCAGCATTGGACCATGAATTAATACAAACTCTAGAAGCCTGCCCGAGACTGCACAAGGCTCTGGGGGGACAGCCAGACACAACCCACAACAACAACCCTACCAGTAACTGCATTTATTTAGCGGGAGACACTGATTATAGTTGGATGCTTCACAATGAGTATGTATTGTAAGAAAAAATGGTGGCAGTTTTCTTTGAAGAAGTGCCTCTAACTTCCCTGTCCATCATGGGGGTCTGTTTCCACCCAACTGGGCAAGTAGCCTTGCTGCCTAGAGCGTTTGGGGGGGGGGGCGGCAGCAGAAGTGCCTCCTGGGAAGTGTTCTCCAAATCCAGCTCCCACTGAAAGACAGTGACCACACGAAAGTCTGAGAAGCTCGGGTGAGCAGAGATGACACCCCCCCCCCAGCGCCTTCCCTGCTCAGAAGGTGTGTGACCCGTATCTCTGTGATCTCTCCCAGTTGCAACTTTCTGAAGTTATTTCTTAGTCATCTGTCCGAATCCCTATTAAAAAAACAAAACAAAACAAAACAATACAAACCAGCCTAGAAGACCGAAGAATGAGTAGGCCAGGGAAACTCACCTGCTACCCACAGCCGGACACAGGAGGGCGCTGAAGCTGCCTCATGCAGCCCTTGGGAGAGGTGCAGGAGCGGGGAGGCTGCCTGCGCCAGGGCAGGAGGTGCCTGTCCTCTACACGGCGAGGGGCAGCCACAGGCAATGACCCCACTAGGAGGGGAATGGAGCAGAAAAGAAGCAACAAGATATGCCATGTATGGGTACAAATTCCGTATGATGAATGTGATCACTATGTTTATCTAAAACATACTAATGGGGAAAAAATAATAATACCTGAAGGGAGGCAGGGGGAAGGGCAAAGAACTTCTTGGAGAATGCCTCTGGGACCAGCAGGGTGCTGCGTGCAGGAAGCAGATGCAGAGCGCAGGGTGAAGGTGCAGCGTGGCCGCAGGTGCAGGTGCAGGTTGCAGGTGCAGGGAGCAGGTGCAGGGAGCAGGTGCAGGGCGCAGGTGCAGGGAGCAGGTGCAGGGCGCAGGAAGCAGGTGTATGCTGCATGGTGCCGCGCACAGGTGCAGGGTGGCCACAGGGAGGCAGCAAACGTGCGTGTGGGGCAGAAGGCACAACGTGGGCCCTGCCGAGGTGCAGAGAGGCCTCGGGGCGGCAGGGGGCACTGCGGAGCCCTCGCCCAGGCCGCGAGGCCATGGGTCTGGGCGCCCGGGAACACACCTGAGCAGGTAGGGGCGGGACCTGCGGCGGACGGAGGGGGCAGGTGCCTGGGGCGGAGCCCGGGCCAGGCCCTCAGGAGCCCTCGGTCCCGCCGCCGGGAGATGCTGTGAGGAGCAGAAGCGCACCCGGTGGCGTCCACACTAGCCCGGACCCCTAGTAGCTGAAAGGTGAGCGGGGTGTCAGGGTCGGCCTGATTCGGACTGCGCCCGGGACGCGCGGTCGGTGCGTGGCCCCGCGGTGCCCGCTCCCCGGCGGCCGGCGTGCGCGGACACTTTCAGGGGTCAGCTCAGCTCTCGGCAGTCGCTCGCGGAGGCCCCCCAGCCACTCCTCTCTGAGTCGCACCTGATCGCGACCTCCTGGCGTTGGTGCTGTGCCCGGGCTGACCGCGCTGCGCCCTCCGCTCTGGAGAGACCTGAGAGACGGCGGCTGCAGAAAAGCAAACACTGCAGCGCGCTGGTCCGCTCCAGGTGGCCTGGACTGGGCTGTCCCTGCCCGAGCCCGAGCCCCAGGGCCCGGACCCCCCAGTCCATACGTGGCTCACCCCGAGCCAACCTCTCCTCTCTCCGCAAGCCCCGCGTTCCTTCACTGAGGCTCGGGGACTCCACAAGGCTGGGGCAGGTAAGGAGCGAGCCTGGGGCTCTGGAGTCAGCAAGAATCCTTTCTCTTTTTGTGGGCTGGGACAATCTACCTAACCCCTCTGCCCCTGTTTGCTCCACTATGAAGTGGGGATAGAGTAACATTTGTGATGAGGATGAAGGTAGGTGATGTGCAGAAAGGACCGACGGAAGTCCTAGACAAAGATGTCTTGATCCATAGATAGAAGACACTGTCATTAATGCCACTGTGGCTCATGTCATCATTTGAAGAGCAGCACACTAGCTAGCCCATGCCAGTGCTCAGCAAAGCCACCTCCTACTGTGTCCCGCGACAAGCTACTTACCCTGTCAGAGTCTGTTTCATTCGTACAATGGGAGAGGTTATGCTGCCTACCTCGGAGGCACTGAGGCACTGCCGGCAGCGTGCTTACCCGAGGGAGCCCTGGGCGCTGGCTATTAACTCTGCCACGAAGGCGTGCTGCTGAATCAGGTGTCAGAGCGCACAGAGGCGACAACCGTGCTCCGCTTTGAGGTTGAAATGTGGCCTGTGGGCACGTGTTCGGGGCTCCTCCAGCCTGGCTAGCTGGCCTCCTGGGTGCGGGTCAGTCCTGGGAAGGAGACAGTGGCCCGAAGGACCTCGTCTTCAGCGAGCGGACAGGGTTGGACAAGGGCTCCAGGATCGTGCTTTTGGCAAACATTGCTAAAGTGGAAATCTGCCCTGAGCTGCAGGTTTATTTGACCTGAAATCAAAACTAGACCTAAATTGAAAATGCCTACTCTCGCCCTTAGGGGACAGTGGAGTAAATTGTTGTGAAGGAGATAGTGGAGATGAGCAGTATGAAAATGATGAAATACAATAAATTTCATTCCTCTTGCCAAGAGGCTAATTGCATAATTTTGAGGTCAGAGCTGATTTTCGTCATCCCAGCAAAACCGATCATAGCAGCTTGAAGAGTGTAGAACAGCCTGGCTGCCTCTGGATACCCCACGCCTTTCTCTCCCCAGTACTCCTCTTTATTTGCCGTAATCTCACTAGCATCATAAATTTAAAAGCCCTCCCATGCTATCCCACCTCCTGCTTTGGGACCATATCTCCTGGGCTCAGGGTGGGGCAAAGTCATTCCACGGCCCAGAATCCTGCTGGAGGGGCTGGGTGGGCTTCCCCGGCCAGTCCTCATCCCAGACACAAGCCCGCTAGGGCACAGCAGCCTCTCTGAACACCCACTCCCAGTCAGATGTCCCAGTTTTCCTTTGCCAACGTGAAGACATAAAGGACAGCGTCTGCACGCACCCTGTCTGCCAGGACTAGGGCGCTCGAGTCTTAAGAGGTAAATCACCTTCACTGTCCAGAGTCCAGAAATTAAATAGGGTAAGACCCTTCCTCTGTCCTCCTAAATTTAATCTGGGTTCTACTAATTAACTACTTGCTTTAATGAGGGAGAGGGTGGCCACACCAACCCAATTTTGGTCCCCTCAAGGATACATACCTTGGTGACCACAGCCGCAAGATTCCAGGGCAGCTCCCCCACTCCTTGGCTGCGTGATCTTGTGCTGGTCACTCTACCCCTCTGAGGACATTTTCCTTCTGTGTAACAAGCGAACAATTCTTCACCTGCATCAGGGAGTTTTGCAATGTGAAATGAGAAAGATGTAGCCTGGGCGTATGTTTATAGAGTTCTGATACTGATGTATATATTTGCAACCGATATTGTACTTTATTAGTTCATTTCTAAAATGAAGTTTGTTTGTTTTTTAACTCTGCAAAGCCTCTGTAGCTGAGGCGCACCTGGGCCTTGATGGACATAGTAACGTGTTTTCAACTGTTTTTCCCCAAAGCTGTCATTAAATCAAGGTGTGTTCTCCAAATTTATGGTATCTTAAAATCAAGGAAATAGGGCACAGCTTGGCAAATAGCGAGCAACCACACTCTCAGGATATTGTTACATCAGGTGCTTGAGGAGCACGCACAGCTGACTGTGAAGTGGAGAAGTGAAAGAGAAATGATTCCCCTTGGAAGAGAACAGCAGGGCAAAGGGCTAGGCAGATCACAGCCGGGACGCGGTCTCGGGCTGCTGCTGCGGGGAAATCCTCTTGGCAGATTTCGAGTCCGTGACACCTAGCAGAGCACTGGGTTAGGCAGCAGGGGCCATGATGAAATAGAAGCGGCGCCCTCCAGGGGGCAGCCGGTGGCACAGAGAAGGCAGGAGTGGCAGTGCCCCTGGCTGGTAAGGAGTGTTGATTGGGCCACTCAGGGCTGCTGCCCAGGAACCCAGGAAAGAAGCCTTTGCTGCCCAGTCAGTCAGGGCTAGGCCTGGGGAGGTCAGAGGAGTCGCCAGCCAGCCCTGTTGGCAGCTGTGGTGACCAAAAACAAATATCCCGGAGAAAGGGCCAATACCTCAGAATGCGCCCTGGCTGGCTCTGGGGCAAAGAGGAAGGAGGCTCACCTGCTTGGCCCTCCCTTCTTCCCCCAGTGCACTGCTGCCCTGCGGAGTTCCCCCTCGGCCATGGCTCCTGGGGAGAAGATCAAGGCCAAAATCAAGAAGAATCTGCCGGTGAGAGGCCCGCAGGCGCCCACGCTCAGGGACCTGATGCACTGGTACTGCATGAACACCAACACGCATGGGTGCCGCCGCATCGTGGTGTCCCGCGGCCGGCTCCGCCGCCTGCTGTGGATCTTGTTCACGCTCACCGCCGTGGCCCTCATCGTGTGGCAGTGTGCCCTCCTCGTGTCCTCCTTCTACACCGTCTCCGTCTCCATCAAGGTCCACTTCCAGAAGCTAGATTTTCCTGCCGTCACCATCTGCAACATCAACCCCTACAAGTAAGAGACCCAAGCGGGGAGCCAGGGGCTGGGAGGCCTTCCCTGGCTACCAAAGCCCCTCTGAGAGCCAAGCAGCCTGGCGGCCATGCCAGGCTGCAGAAGGGAGGGCAGCAGGAGGAAGATCATGCCACCAGCGAGGTGGTGCCAGCTTGTGTGTTGGAAATGTGAATTCACTGGCAATATTGGTGAGCAGCCCTCTCCCAGGTAGGCTTCATGTCTACACCGGGTTTCCAGTCCATCATCAGCTATTTCTGGGACTAGGCTGGTGCAGGGGAGGCTGCGGGGCCAGGAAGGCAGTATGCAACGTGGGCCGGAAGGCCCCGTACCCGAGCCCCTGCTCGCCCTCACTCAGCCCCGCCCAGCCGATGCGGCCACCTTTCCCTGCTCACACCCTCACACTCCCCAGAGCATGAGCTCCAGCTGACTCAGAAGTGACATGCAGGTGACTTCCCCACGCATCCCCCTGGCTCTGCATCCTCCCCTGAGTCAGCCCAGCCCCACTAATTGGGATCGCTGGGCTCTGAGCTGGACCAGCCCTCGGTGCTGCCCCACTGTTGGTCGTAGGACCTGTTCTAACTGGGTCAGCAGAGCCCTCAGAATTGTGGAAAACTGCTGGGTGAGACGTGAGAGGATTGGGCAGACTGCGCTGGAGCAGGTGGGGAGGGGAAGGAGCGTGAGGGGAGGTCGACAGGGCAACTGCTTTGTCCAGTACCATCAACAAGCAGGTGCCAAAGCTCAAAATCAAACCCCAGCCTCAGGCTCACCTGCTGACTTTTGAATCCTTTCTTCCCTTCCTCCTTTCTGCCTTTCCTCCTCCGTTCATCTATTATTTGTTGCACAATCTTTTCCCTCAGCATATACACATCATCAAGCACTGTGGTGGGTTCTGGAGCTAGAAGCGAACAGTCCAGAACCTTCTCTGCCCTGATAGGCCTAAAGTATAGTGCAGGAAAAAACTAACAAGACAGAACTACACTGCTGTAACTTACAATAGTGACCATTCGCTTACGTATCATGCACAGGGGTGTGGTTTTGAATACATAAGACAGGCTTTGAACTTTGCCAATCACCTGAGGAACCTGAGGCATGACAAGCAGAGTGACTTGTTCAAGGAGTTCACCCTTAGCAGGGTGGGGAGTGCACACGAGGCAGGAGGCTCTGACACTTCATCCCTGATCCCTTCTCTACATTGCCTGTCCAGGGAGGAAGGAGGAGCCTGGGACCATTTGATCTCATGGAATGTTTTTTGTTTTTGTTTTTTTGAGGGGTTTTTTTGTTTGTTTGTTTTTGTTTTTTTTGCAGTACCAGAGATTGAACTCAGGACCTTGCACTTGTCAGACAAGCGCTTACTTCACTGAGCTATCTCCCTAGCCCTGAAATGTTCTCTAAAAATGGTGTCATCATGGGCCAGCCAAATAGCTCATCAGATTAAAGCACCTGCAAGCAGGTGCAGAGGCCAGGGTTTCAATCCCTGGGGCTGCTGTGCTGGCCCTGCCCCAGGGCCGTGCTGAGATGGCAGTTGAGACTGGGAGTGGTGGTGCGTGCCTGTAATCCCAGCTGTTGGGAGGCTGTAAACAGGCAGATCACTATGAGTCACACCTAGTAGTGAGACCCTGAACACTCTGTAGACCCTTCCCTAAAAAAAATAAAATAAAAAATGGTGTTGTTATGTTTCCTACAGTCAACTCTGTACCATTCCATATGTTCATCATTGTAGTTGTGATTGTTGGGGTTTTTGAAACAGGGTCTTGTTGTGCAGTTCAGACTGACCTCGAACTCTCAGCAGTGACCCTGCTGCCTCAGTCTGCCAGGTGCTGGGATACAGAGGTGCACCACCATGTCTGGCCTCTTAGATGTTCTTGGAGGGTGCTGCTGTGTAGCCACCTCTTCAGCCATCCCAGCACTGATTGGTGAAGCCTACCAGGCAGAAGCTAAATATGGTGGGTGGAGTGGACCCTGCCCCTGGGGACACAGGTTTAGTGGTTACGCATCATCATTGCAGGGGCTGGTTTACAGGACGCATCTGACAGTCGCTACTCTAGAAATGCTGGCTGGGGCAAATGCGTGCACTCACCTGACACCAGCCAACCGTGAGAGCAGAGGGGAAGCCATAGGGGGTCACACAGGCTCACTGAGGAGCCTTCCCCTGCCACAGAAGCCAGCGTAGCTTTGCATGGGCAAGTCAAGCAAGGCCTGGCCCCATGGTCCAGGGGGCGGGCAGCAAGCATCAGACCAACACAGCCTGATGGAAACCGGTGTGGAGGAAGGACAGCATCTTGCCACCATGGTCTCACATCTCTGCGCCGCTCCCCTCCCTCCTTGACAGGTACAGCGTGGTGCGTGACCTTCTGGCCGACTTGGATCAGGAGACCAGAGGGGCTCTGAGGACCCTGTACGGCTTTTCAGAGGTGAAGTCTCGCAAACGCCGTGGGGCAGCGTCTGAAAACCCAGCCTGGGCCGGCATCCAGCCCAAATTTCTCAACACGATCCCACTGCTGGCCTTCAGCGAGAATGAGAAGGGCAAGGCCAGGGATTTCTTCACTGGCCGGAAGCGGAAAGTCGACGGGACCATCATTCACAGGGCCTCCAATGTCATGCAGGTCCATGAGTCGAAGAAAACGGTGGGATTCCAACTGGTAAGATCACTTCCTGGCCAGTTAGGCGCCTGGGTGGGCTGGAGGGCATGCCCTGGGCCCCTTCTCCTTGCTCACTTGCTCCCGTGGGCTGCTGGGAAGAAATGCCCCTGGTTAGGGTGATGTAGCTACAATCACTGGACACCTACTCAGCAGGCACTGAGCAGGAGCTCAGAGAGCCTTCTCAGAGGACACAAAGGAGGCTAGAAACCAGGTCATCTTTTCAAATCCTGCTGCTGGATGAAAGGATCTGTTTTCAGTCTTTCTGTTAAAGCGTAAGCTGGGCATGGGGACACATAAGTCATCCTAACACTTGAGAGGCTGAGGCAGGAGGATTGACAGGAGTTTCATCTCCATAGTGAGTTCAAGGCAAGCCTGAGCTACACAGCAAGACTCTGCCTCAAAAACCCCAAAAGATTCAAATTCCATCTTGGGAACATCTGGGTGGCCAAGCTCAGCTGCCTGATGGACCCCTGGCTCCTGAAAGGCAGGATCCCATCATGGGCAATTTCAGCAGACTGTATCCAAAAGGCAAAAGAAAATCCCCCCAAGCAAAGTAGGTGTTGTAGGCCCCAGCAGGGAGAGACAGGTGAACATCAGCAGACGCTCCCATGTTCTTCACAGTCTGCTTTCATGAGACGCTACAGCCTGACTTCTCCACTCTATTTTTGGTCCCATTTGAGGGGCTTTTAGGAAGCAGCCATTTATTTAAAATGAATTCTAAGGGCCAGCCAAAAAGTTCAGCAGATTAAAGAGCCTGCAAGCAGGTGCAGGGCCTGGGGTTCAATCCTCAGGCCTACCATGCTGGCCCTACCTCCAGGGCCCCTGAGACTGCAATTAAGACTGGGCATGGGCGCCTGTAATCCCAGCTCTTGGGAGGCTGTAAACAGGAGGCTCACTACAAGTCTGATCTAGTAGTGAGACCCTGAACACCATATAGACTCTTCCCTAAAATAAAAAAAAAAAAAAAAAATTCTAGCCAGGCGTGGTGTCATATGCCTATAACCCCAGTACTAGGGAGGCTGAGGCAGGAGGATCTTTGGGAGTTTGATGCCAGCCTGGGCTATGAAGTGAGCTCCAGGCCAGCCTGAGCTGTATGGTGAGATCCTCCTGTCTCAAAAAGACAAAATAATAATAATAAAAAGGAAGAGCAAACCCAACTCTGCTGCAGGTTTCCTTCCTGTGCCCCTGCATTCCTGGCCTGAGCTCCCAAACTTCATCGTTGTTTCAGTCCTCCTGTGGGCGGGGGCGGGACCGCGGGTCTCAGCCTGGCATCCCCTCTTGCTCGCAGTGCCCCTCCAACGACACCAGCAACTGTGCCACCTACACCTTCAGCTCGGGCGTCAATGCCATCCAGGAGTGGTACAAGCTGCACTACATGAACATCATGGCTCAGGTGCCTCTGGAGAAGAAAATCAACATGAGCTACTCGGCGGAGGAGCTGCTGGTCACCTGCTCCTTTGACGGGACATCCTGCGATGCCAGGTGACGTGGGGAGGCTGTGCGCTCAGCTCCTGAGGGCCGGCAGCTGGGGTGCCAGGGTCCTCGCGGGCACCTGCAGCTCGCCCAGGGGTCTTGCGAGCAGGAGGCAGTCTTGCACCTGTCTGTTTCCTGGAAATCGACTGCACGGAAGCTAGCTGTAGGGTCAGTGAGCAGAACCTAAAATTGCAGCATCTTCAAACTCGTTCAGTTACTCATCAGGAGTAAGTGGTGATGAGCACATCGCCTCCTTCTGTGGTCATGCCAGTGATGGAAAACTGCTAAGATGATACGGAGGGAGGGAAGAGGGGAAGGGGCTGGGGGAAGAAAGCCCCAGGTCCACATGTGTGAGGCTTCAGATTTTTCCACCAGCCCTCAGCCCTGGGGTGATGGGACAGTGGATGGGACATTTAAAGGGGACTCTCCTTTTCTGGAGAGCCTACTTTGCTCATGTCAAATACTAAGCCTTACTTCCCTTTCTGTGTGTCAGCAGATACATGTGTCCTTGCAAAAACAGCACGGCTGAAATGACGTCTCCCAGACAGCTGGGTTCTAAAGGCATACAAGGTCACAGAGGAAGGAATTCTTTCTCTGAGGACCATTTCTCAAGACTGGCGTTTTGAGTTTAAAAAAAAAAAAAAAGTGTCCAGTGCCGGCTGAGAAATTAAGAGTAGAAGAATTTGGGGCAGGTGTGGGGCAGCAGGAACTGCAAGTGGAGACAATGCCGAGGGGATTAAGAGCAAAAGCAGAGGCGAGCTCTACCTCAGTGCCTGTCCACCCGGCTGGCAGGTTTTATTTGCCATTCTATCAGAGGACAAATAGGGGAAGTGAGTCATGCCTATCCCTCATTGTCCCCAAAGAGCGCTGGGCCGGTGAACACTGCCCGTCTCCACTGGCTGGGAGAACAAGGGCATTCCCCGCCCCGCCCTTTCTGACCCAAGCCCTTCCCCAATAGGAACTTCACGCTTTTCCACCATCCCATGTATGGAAATTGCTACACATTCAACAACAGAGAGAATGAGACCACGCTCAGCACCTCCAGGGGGGGCAGCGAGTACGGTAAGGCAGCCGCGGCGAGGAGCAGGCTGTGTGGCAGGGAGCAGCGTGGCAGCAGAGCCACGGCGCACCAGGGCTTCAGAAGCGATCCCAGCTCTTCGGGAGGCTGAGGCAAAGAGACCACAAGGTGGAGTCCTGCCTGAGGAATTCAGCAAGATTCTGCCTCCAAGAGTTACGGGGAGGTGGTTCAGTGTGAAGGGCCTGGGCCGAACTCCACAGTGCCCGGGAGGGTGTGTGCGTGCCACCGGAGCTCGCCTTGTGGGCCCTTCCTCTTGGGCAGAGTCTCCTTGTCCCTTTTAGACATTTCTTCTTTATATTTGAGAGCCCCGCACATCTCTGGGCTCCCTCCTGTGAACAGCCTCCCTAGCGTAAACCTTAGCTGGGGTGAGCACTGCGGGGCAGGAGGCTTCTGAGCGTAGGGAAGCCCATGTGTGTGCGCTGAAGGGAGGCCAGGCAGGTGAGGTTGGGGGGTAGGTGAGGTTGGGGGCAGGTGAGGTTGGGGGGCAGGTGAGGTTGGGGG